ATCTGTTTCATCCAGATAAACATAGAATATACGAAAGATAGAAAGGTTTGATATCCATGATTAATTTAAATGCATGAGTGTTTCTTTTCTTGAAACATCTAGTATGATTGTGTTAATATTTTTAAGCCAACCCATTTTACTTTTCTTACAATGACGCTTATGACATGTTTGATAGGAAACATTAAATTAATGCGCATATACGGAAATAACATGACTTGTTTGCAAAGAAGCGAAAATAGCACAGGCTCTACGTGCACGTTAATTACTTTTATTAGCATCAAATGCCTACCACGTTGCGAAGTATACTAAAAATCGTTTACTTGCTTGTTTGATCCACAATTTCGCGCAAAGCTACACAGTAGTCTATTAGACCATAACAAAGGATGCTAGTTAAAAGTACCCATCACCAACTCTTGGACTGATCTTGTCTCTTCGAATAATGGGATTCGACATTCACTCTTATAACACACAACCATGGGCCCGAAGTGAGAGAAAGTTTTAATGAGCCACAAGCCACGAATCCTTGGATTCACAGTACGAGCACGCTAACCAATTGGCCAAGCCCCGTGTGAAACCTATACTACACTCTTAGACCTGTAACCCCAGAGAGAGAGAACGGTTAAACCACATAAAATCACCACACCTCCGAGTTAACAAGCTTTAATATTGTATGCAAGCAACATATTTTTCACATGTTGATAAAGCACTAGTTGTTTTCCGAAACAGATAAAAATGGCGGTAATATTTGTGGTTTTTGATACTCCAGGAAAGAAGGAGAGTTTATCATTAGAATAACGAACTAAGAATTTGTAAACTTGCCAATGTTAGTATTGGGAAAAAAATAATAAAGTTGTTTACACTCTGGTATTTCCTTTCCGATAATAACACTTTCACACCTTAACTTTAACTTCTAACGAGGATTCTATATGACCCCAATCGATATAATTATAATAATAACTAATTTTCGTATCTTGTAATAATATTGGAATTTCTTGTCTCATGTGTTAATGAAAATTTTAAAATAAAACGTTATACTTTTTTATTGTAAAAATCAAATTGGACTCTATGTGACGCCCATTTAAAATTAGTCTTGGCTAAATTTTGTCAATGCTGTTAAAAATAAAAATGTTGCATGACTGCCTAGTGGTTATATGTTTTTAGAAACATTAAAGTAGCAATCTGAAAACTTCTTAACTTTACTATATTGTGTTATTGTTGAAATACACAGCGGTATGTCTGTGAACTTACAACGCTAGAAACCGGGTTTCGATACCCGTGGTGGGAAGAGCACAGATAGCCCAATGTTTAGCTTTGTGCTTAACTACAAACAAACAATTGTTGAAATATATATATATATATATATATCTACATATATATATATATACATTTACACACACACACACCCTCACACACACACACAAATATACATGTCTGTGTATGTGTATAAAAATACAACATTTTTATTGGTGTATGCCAACAAAACAATGTAAGATTATACCATTTATACAGATATATAAATGATATTGTTTTAAAGTAAAAATATCTGCGGTCATAGCACCCAAAAACAATGGGATTATGCTGTCTACCTAACATAATCAAGACAATAGATATGAAATTAGAAAGCAAGCTACGGATTCAATAAGGGGTTAGGGTCTGGGCATTAGAACTCACAACGTCCCAACTCTCACTACCGCTCACTGTCTATAACCAGTTGTAGATATGATAGTTACTCCTAAAGACATGAGAATAGAAATCTAATAATATCAACACATTCGATTTCCATAAAAACATTGTCTCATATAGATCAAACGCTAAGGGTTAAAGTAAAAGTGTGTAAGTTAACTTATAGGCAGATCTATTATATCCTTGCCAAAAATAACACTGGCAAATTTACAAAATTCTTAATTCGTTATTTTAATGATAAAGTTTCTTTCTTTGTTAAAAATCTCAGAGACCATCTTTTTAGCCACCATTTTCATTTGTTTAAGAAAATACATTAGTGGTTTATGTCTTTATGGGTAACTGTCATGTTCATAACCAGCTATAGACGTTGTGGGTTATAACACTCAAACCCTAACCCATTACTGAATCAGTAGCTTACTTTCTAGTTGCCCCCCAGTGGCACAGCGGTATGTCTGCGGACTTACAACGCTAAAATCCGGGTTTCGATACCCGTGGTAGGCAGAGCACAGATAGCCCATTGTGTAGCTTTGTGCTTAATTACAGACAACCAAATGTTTTCTAGTTTTTTATCTTTAGTTTTGATTATGTCTGATAGACGGATTATCTCGAATAATTTTTGGTGCTATGGCCGCAGACATTTTCACTTTAAAATGGTATAATTTAAACTTTTATATAAATGGTATAATTGCACACTGTTTTGCTACATACAGTTTTGCTGGAGTAATCATGTATTTGGTGAAGCATGCATCTATAATGAAAATGTTGTATTTTTACTTCTCGTCAGGGCTATTTAGTGCTGAATAATCGCCTGTACGTCTTTGATGTAATATAGTTAACAGTGAAACATAATCATATATATATATATATATTTCTACCATAGGACATAAAGAGCTTAAAGAATTCACTTAACCCTTAAATCGTCTTGATTACTTGGCTAGTTTCTAATAGTGTTTTATGCACCAAGATATTATACGATTAAAATCATTTTACTATAAGGTTTATATTAACATTATAGCATATAAGACTGAGTGCCTGTTTTAAACATTCCTGCTAGCTTGTAATACGTATAGTGAAAAGAAAGGAACACCTTCTAGATCAAGGAGAACGTGTGCGGTGCTATCTAGAAACTGGTCATTCAATCGTGAATACGCAGTCACTTTATTTTTTCTTTTATTTATTGTTTCCAGAAAAAAATTAGAAACTTAACTGCGTGATTTTTTTATGTCCAAAACTTAGTGAAAGGAGAAATCAAAACTGAAACATTCTTTCGTTTTATTTTTGACGAAATGTATTTCACAAACTAACTGGATATTTTTTATCATAATGTAAAGTATTTATTCGGTGTATCTCGAGGCACAAGAAGGTTTTGTCTTTGAAAATACGTTTTCTCAAAACCTATAAAATATAAATACTTAACCAAAAACTATTTGTGTGATAACGAAATAGCGTATGGTAACGGCTTTCTTTTATTGGGTTAATATTTTACAAAATTTTCACGTACATATCCTTTGGAGGTTAAGATGTCATTATATGTTTCATAAAAACATCTAAAAGACATAAACAGGTTAAAATTGCCACTTGGTAGAAAACACAGCATTAATAATAGCACAGTGTCTCAAGCTTATGGCTGAAGTAGACTCGAAATTTATTTTGATTTTGAAATTTCAAGACGACTTAAATTGTTAGCCTCTAATTTGAAGCCTTCTCTAAACTGAAAAATGTGAATATGGATACAATTTATTGATACATAGTATTTGAGAAAATTGTCATTATAAAGTTTAAATTAAAAACTTTAATGTTTCTTATAAACTGAAGAGTGACTTGTAAAAATGCAGTGTTTTCATGAAAGTAATAAATTGAACCAACTCTTCATTCAAATGAAAACCAAACCACATGAAGTAAGTTTTATAGCTTTGATTAAATAAACAGAAAACTTTAATTGTTCGAGAAATATAAGAAACTTATTGTCTTATCCATTCCAAATTGAAGGAAGAATGTTATAAACAACTCCCTGGTGGCTCAGAGGTAAATCTGAGGGCTTTTAACGCTACAAATTGGGTTTAGATACCTGCGGTGGCCAAAGCACAGATAGTTCATTGTTTAACTTTTCCCTTAACAACAAACTTAACGAAAATTTTACCACAAATCGGCCACAAATAAATTAAGAAATAGCAATCAATTTAATATTGTTTTTTACCCAGAAAGAAGTGTATCGATTCTGTGTAACTCCAGGAAATTTATATAATGTTTAAGATTTGTACTGTGCCAGAGCTTTTTTTGTTACAAAGCCATACAGAAACAACAGGCCCGGCATGGCCAGGTGGTTAGGGCGCTCGACTCGCAATCAAAATGTCGCGGGTTCGAACCCCCGTCACACCAAACATGCTTGCCCTTTCAGCCGTAGGGGCGTCATAATGTGACGGTCAATCCCACTATTCGTTGATAAAAGAGTAGCCCAAAAGTTGGCGGTGGGTGGTGATGACTAGCTGCCTTCCCTCTAGTCTTACACTGCTAAATTAGGGACGGCTAACGCAGATAGTCCTCATGTAGCTTTGCGCGAAATTCAAAAACAAACAAACAGAAACAACATTACAGATATAATAATGTTGCTGATTTGTCACTCCTTTAGGTGGATCATCCTAAGCTCAACTGTTTATCTATTAATAACTTATAAATTGTTTATCATGGATGAAAACACAATTATTTTTAAGTGTTTGTCATAGTTCTTATTGGCTACACGAAATATTTGAAATTTACCATTCAACATACCAACAAGAAAACTGAGAGTGCCAAGATTGACATATACTCTAGCAATACTTTGTTTACAAAACTTCAATGGTCTTAATAGTCAAACTGAAACCACAATGAAACTACATAAAAAATAATAAATATTGAAATACTAAAAACTCTCTAAGCCATAGTTTGGTATCGCTATAATATCAAAATTTCATAACTGTATGTTTTCCTTTAATCTAGGGTTCACGTTGAAGTTTCGCGTGCTTAGTTTTGTCTATAATGTGCAAAAATAAAAATAAATAAATAAACATTACTTCCAAAACTATCTGAGATACATGGGAACATTGTTGTAGGTTCAGTTGTGAATTGATTTGTAAATAACTTAACAAATCAGTTATTAAATGTATAACAATAAAATATATTTCGGTATACGATGATTCGTAATGAATTAATTTTCAGTCAATGCGTTTTATTTTCTAAAACATGAAGGCTATGTACAAGTGTGCAATTACTATTGTTAATAATGAACTATTTATAATCAATTACTTTGTTATAGCAATATAAAAATGTACACAACTTACCAGCATTAACAGCTTTGACAGTCATGAACAAGGAAAACTGAAGGCACATGAGAAGAGTTAATACTGCCATCTGGTAGTAAAATAAATATATATAAAGTATTTAAAAACATATTATGATATTTTATCATTGTAACTTATTTTATTTACTATTTATCATAGCATAAGATATATATATATATATATTAATAATATTCTGAAAAATGGGCGTTCTTCTGAATTAAACTCACTAGGGATATGGGGATATTCATTCTAAATGGTTTAGTATTGGTCTATTGCCACGGTGAGCGAGGAGAATCCACCTGTTGGCTTAATTTTAGATGTATATATTCTTCAGATTCAAACTATGTTTATCCATATATCTGTTTCTTCCTAGCAAGTTTATAAGGGGTCTGTAGTTTTTGAAATACACAAAAGTTGGTAGCAAGAGTGAGGGTTTCTGATAAGATTTATTCACAATTTTTGGGCTATAAATTTTGTATTTTATCATAGGTTTCTTTAAAATTTAACCATTCTCGTCTTGCGTATGTATTACTTAAAATAAGGAACCACAGTAATATATATATATATATCTAACAGCCACGATTTTAACGTTAATAATCAGGGATTATCATCTTACTCAAAATATTAGCTCGTCAAAAAATTAATGTCGCTTATTTTTAGATGAAAAAACCCGAACAACTTATATATCAGAACAAAACATGATGATGCTTTTCCATC